TTCAGGCATTTGAGTTGTGTGGAGCAACGTGTAATTGTATTCTGGATTGGAATTTGACTTGATTCAGCTTGTTAAAGCTCATGCAGCGTGATGACATGGAATTCGGATCCGATGATGAATTTTAGATGTTGAGGTTTGGGTTCTGTTCTAAGGTTATGGGCTAAGGAGGAGATGAGATCTTCAATTAAGTTGCATTGTCAGTTCTGCTTAGGTTGGGTGATGGGGAATCACCCAGGTGTATGTATGGTGAGCTCATGCAGTGGTTCGATGGCTTTAGAACGACTCCGGGCATGTTCGAGGATGAACGTATGTTTAAGTGGAGAAGGATGTAACAACCCGATTGGTCATTTTGAGCAATTGCGCTCGATTTGGTAGTTTGAAGTCTCGAGCAGCTTCACTTTATATATATCGACTTATGTGCATGGTTGGATTCAGTTTCCGGATGAATCAGAGTTGAATTGGAAGAGCAAACCTAGTTTTGGAAGTTTAAATATTGAAAATTTGACCGGAATTGGACTTTTGAGTAAAAGGCCCCGAAATGGGTCATGGGTTATCTCAACAGCTTCGTATAGTGATTTTGGACTTAGGCGCGCGTCCGGATTCGGATTTGGAGGACCGTAGGGTAATTTGAGGTGTTTCGGCAAAAGTTGGAAAAGTTGAAGTTTGGAAAATGGAGAGGTTTGACTCATAGTTGAATTTTGTGATATAGGGATCGGAATGCGATTCTGAGAGTTGGAACAGCTCCGTTATGTTATTTTGGACTTGTCTGCAAAATTTGGCGTCATTTCGGGGTTGATTTGATAGGTTTCGGCACAAGTTTTGGAAGTTGGAAGGTTTGAAAGTTCCTAAGTTTGATTCATGGTGTGATTCGTTGTTTCGGCATTGTTTGACGTGATTTGAGACCTTGAGCGAGTCCATGTTAGGTTATATGACTTGTTTGTGTGTTTAGACGGGGTCCTGGGGGCCTCGGGTGTGTTCCGGATGGGCTACGGGTCATTTTCCCTTATTTTTGAACTGTTGTTTCTGCCGAAACAATCGCCTTCCACGTTCGCGAAGCTTTGTTGTTGACCACCTGGAAATCCTTCTTCGCGTTCACGTTAAAAGCGTCACGTTCGAGAAGCTCAGTCTCTTCCTTCATCATGTTCGCATATGTCCATCGCGTTCGCGTAGTTATGCCATCCCACCCTTCGCATTCGTGTACAAGTTCACGCATTCGCGAAAAGCAGTCTTTGGGCCATCAGACTTCCCTTCTTCGCGTCCGCAGACGCACTGTCGCGTTCGCGATGAGTAACCTGGGCACCTTCATCTTTTCTTCTTTGCGAACGTGATACTTCCTCCGCGTTCGCGATGCTTTAAGACATGGGCAGAATAAATAGTACTCTATTCCGAGGGTTTGCCATTTTCACCATTTTGGAGTTCTAGAGCTCAGTTTTAGGTGATTCTTTGTGGGTTTTTCAAGCAAAACGATTGGGTAAGTGTTCTTCACCTAGAATTGATTATATTCCATGAATTTGTCTTTATTTTTATCATTTAATTTGTGATTTGGGTCGAGTAAAATGTTGGCTTTTGAAGAAAATTCCTAAAATAAAAAATCGTGATTTAAGGGGCTAAATGGTATCGGAATTTAATAAATTTTGTATGGTTGAACTCATATTGGAATGGGTATTCGGATTTTGTAAAATTTGTGGGGTTCCGAGGCGCGGGCCCGAGGGTCAACTTTTAGACCAATTTTTGGATTTTGTTAAAGATTGAGACTTTATGATCCGGAATAGTTTCTTATGTGTTTTATTTGTGCTTTGAAGTTAATTTGGTTAGATTTGAGCCGTGATGAGGTCTTTTCACCCGAGAAGTGCATTTTAGAGTATCGGTTTGTCATCTCTGAGGTAAGTATCTTGCCTAGCCTTGTGTGGGGGACTTCCCCTTAGGATTGAGTCTTCTTTGCTAATTGTAGTCCGTGCATGCGAGGTGACGAGTGTGTGCTCGGACTTATTTGTGGGAAATTTGCTCTAGGGTTCTTAGGCACTTATGTTCAATATGTGGAGAGTATTTCATTATTATTGGGTTTAATAATTGCTTAAATTGTCTTTATATGATCCATATAATGTTGTTAGCTTTCCTCTAATTCCTACGTGTTGCATTGACCCTTAATTGTCTTAATTGAAGTGATTCTCTTCCTTATTGTTTTGATATTTCTTGATTGTGAGTTCCACTATGACTTCGTGTAAATGGGTTTCATGTCAAATTATTGTGGTTACCGATGTAGTTATCACGTGTTTATTATGTCTTGTTGTTTAGTTGAGGTTTCATTGTGAAGTTAATTGTCGGTACAGGTTTGGTTATAGTTGATTCCCTTGCCGGGACATATTTAATCCTTACTGCTGGTTCCCTTGCCGGGATATGGTTGTTTTCTTATTGTTTCCTTGTTGGGATTCTTTTGTGATTGGTGTTGATTTGTATATTTGGATCGGGTTGCATGCCGCAACAATATTATATGGGATCGGGTTACACGTCGCCACATCATTATATGATTTGGATCGGGTTTCATGCTGCAACAATATTATATGGGATCGGGTTGTACGCCGCAACATCGTTATATGATTTGGATCGGGTTGCACGCCGCAACAATATTATATGGGATCGGGTTGCACGCCACAATATCATTATATGATTTGGATCGGGTTACACGCCGCAACAAGAAAGAATAAAAATAAATATTGAATCTTATGGTGAGAACGAGAGTAAAAGCACGAAGGGTGATGTCATGCACTTTCTGCTGCTGTGTTTATTTGTTGTTATCAATTCAAATATTTAAACTGTTTAAATTTCTTTATTTCTGTGATCCTTTGTGTTAGAACCTACAATGTTTTCAATACCTCACTGTATTTATGTACATATACATATATATATATATACACACACACTCCAATACTTCAAACTTCAGTAATTGTTACAGCCGTAATTCAATTAGTTTCTCAATTATACCCCCTTAAACCGTCTGAGGTTGTATTTTACTTAAAAAGGAATTTCTACTAAGTTTTAAGTTATTAAATCTCATGTAAAAGGTAATAATTCACTCAATGTTGTATTTTTAAATTAAAAGGGGTACTTTCTTTACCCGAATGATTTCAAAAGAAACAATTTCATCTGTTCTCGCTGGCTTTCCCAATTAGTTTAGAAATTGTAATTTTACTTATATTAGGTAAATGCGACTTCTTGGACATATTGAGTGCATTGTACGGACATTATGTATTGTATAGCATGTGGATTCTGTTGTTAAAAGTGAGATAGAAAATATAGGGGCACAAGGTGCCATGTGTGCGGAAGGTTCGGAAGTTAAGATTATGATATGAGCAACCGAGGATTGAGATGGTCGAGATTGTGTATTAGACATGATGTGGTTGATTGAGTGGGCATTTCCTTCTTTAATTGAATACATTCTTACTGGTCTCTGTTTCTATTATGTCAGTGTTGATTTACTTGGTTATCTGATTTACTTGTTACCATTCATTACTACTCGTGTTCTCCCTTTATGGTTCTTACTGTTGGTATTTTGATTCTTTCCGCTGTTGATATCACCTCGTTATCTTTATCTCGATGTTTTATTATCATATCCTGTTCATTTCATTTGATCAATAGGTTCTTGATTGTTCCTCCTCACTACTCCACCGAGGTTAGTCTTGATACTTACTGGGCACCGCCGTAGTGTGCTCATACTACACTTCTGTACATTTTGGTGTGCAGATCCAGGTATTGAACCATAGTAGTTGTGCGGGTCGTCGCGGTGAAGACTCACGGTAACCTGTTGCTACGTTCGCAGGTCTCGGAGTTATCTTCGTTTGTAACTACATTCCATTGATTCCTTCTCGTTCTGGAACAGTATTGTATTTATTTTGTATAATTACTCTTAGAAAGGCTTATGACTTGTACCACCGGTTTTGGGAATTATGATTTATTGAGAGTTATTTAATTTGAAGTTCGTAAATATTAATGTTATTTCTGTAAATGTTAGGCTTACCTAGTTTAGAGACTAGGTGTCATCACGACTCATTCGGAGGGATCTTGGGTCATGACGCTTAGTATTGAACATATGGAGTCGTACACTAATGAGTGTTCTGATCTTTGCTAAAGGATTAATTATTTTATTATTTGATAATAAAATTAAAAAAAATTAATTAGTCAAATAAATTAAATTATTAGTCCAGGTAAAATATTACTATATTCTTTGCTAGCACAGAGGATATAATTAATATTGTGAACAAATTAAAGTTTTCTATTTGGAATAGAAAATTAAAGTATATCCCTTGATTGAAATATATATATATATAATTAATACTTATTTTATACGAAAGATGTCATGTAAAATATTAATAAAAGACTTGTTAATTAAATCTAATTTTGGATTGGAATAGTAACGTAAAATCCAATTGGAATTGGATTGGAAAGTCGGCTACCACATTACCCATTTGGAACGGGGTTCAACTTTTAATGGAAAGATACCATAAAGTCCTAATGGACTTGGAAAAGAAAAAACCACCGAAGCTAATTTTTCCTTGTCCCATTAAAAAGTATTGCAAACTCGCGTATATATTGATATATCCGAAACATTAAGACGATACTGAAAATTAGGGGTGGGCAAAAAATCCGAAAAACCGAATTCTGAACCGAACAAAATTAATTTGTTTTTTCGGTTTCGGTTTTTTCGGTTTTTCGGTCTAATTCGGTAATGAATTTTCGGTTTTTCGGTTTTCGGTTCGGTTTTTGGTTTTATAATTTTGCAAATTTGGTAAACCGAAATACCGAAATAATCTAAACGACTAAGCCCAATTACCTATTTTATAGGCCCATGCGGCCAGGCCATGCCCCATCCCAGCGTCCCACTCCCACCCAGGCCCAGCTCCCCCAACTCCCAACCCAATCCCAATCCCAATCCCAATCAGTACCCAAGTACCCAACCGGCCAACCCAAGACCCAAGTCTTGAATCAAATTAGGCATTTCATTAGGGTTTGCTAACTTAGTGCTTACTACTTCAGTTCAGTCTTCACTCTAGTCTTCACTCTTCAGTGTTTAGCCATTTCATCGAGGAGGAGACGAGAATCGACTGCGAGTTTAGGACGAGAATCGACTGCTTAGGATATCAGTCTACGTCTCTACGAGTTACGACCAGTCTATGGTTTTTTCCTGTGGCTTCTGCTTTTCATCTAGGTATTGTTAGCTGAATTTGTGGTGTACCAGGAATTACAAAATAAATGATTGGAAGAACCAATACTCTATTTTCTCATGCGTGTTTCACTTATTTGTTTTCCCTTATCCACACAGGTTCTTCAATCAATGCTTCCAATCAAAGATGAAGAGGTCGTTCTTGGACAATATGAAGGCTATAAGGATGACCCAATGGTTCCTGACAACTCAAATACTCCTACTTTTGCAACTATGGTTTTACGCATACACAATGAAAGATGGGAAGGTCAGATAATAATTTCACAAGTTAAAAATTGGTATTTTAACTTTTGATCTCAGCCTTAGATTGCCTAATTATCTGTTGTTTCAGAGATGTACTTTGGCTACTCGCCTTAATCTGTATCTTGGGTATCTTATGTAGTTATGTGGCTTACCTGCTGCAGGTGTGCCCTTTATAATGAAGGCTGGAAAAGTTTTGAACAACACTCTGTCACTCTCTGAGGCTGGAAAAGCTATGTCGACTACTCTCTGAGGTTTTGTTTGAGTTTTTACATTTTTAAGTTTTGAACTTTTTGAGTTCAGAGTTCAGACGCATAAATTTTTAATTTCTGATTTTCTGCATCAAACTAATTTAGGGTTATAGGAGGCGATTTCCAGCTCGATTCGATTCCTCACTCCTCAATTTCAGAGGTTTGTTGTTTCGCTTTCTTTTGGTTGTACTGCTGATTGAATGAACTGCTGTTCCGAGCTTTTCCCTTTAGTAGGAAAATATCATCTGTATTCTGTAATCTGTATCACGTTCATGGCTTCATGCTGTTTAATTCATTTGCTTGTATAATAATAGTTGTGAGTACACGACTATGTGTTAGGCTTACCATATGATTACTTTGTTTATGTCTGATTTTTAGATCTTTACCATATGAGCAGAGCAACTAACAATAGCAGAATGCTCTCTTTGGTTGAACACTCTATTCTTTTAGTCGCCCCGGTTGAAATTTGCCTAACAACAGACACTTGGACTCTATTCTTTTGGTTGAAATCATATTTCAGGACATGATTTATATGCTGTAAACCTGCCTTTTTTTATTATCGTTATGTGCTTATAAAATTGAATGTGGAAAAACACACCTCAATATGGACATCAATGGCTTAGGATTGGATGCATTGTTGCTGATTGATGTTCTTACACATTGGCTTCAAGAAAAACAAATGCTACAAATTTCATTTGACAAATCTTAGTGTTGTTGTTGTTGTTTCAGGCCATTGAATGATGATGAGCAAAGGATAAATGTTCCAAAGGCCATAACATGTAATGAAAGTAAAAGAGAAGTTTCTGTTTTACAAAATGTAGCTAACAAGCAAGTAGACAAAGTATTCACTTTTGACAAGGTATAATTCTTTGTTTTATAGTAGCATTTTGTTCATTAAATGGATGGATGGCATGTTAAGAATGTTAGCATTAGGAGTTGTCTTAAAGATATGCTATTTACCAGGTTTTTGGCCCAAAAGCACAACAGAGATTAACCCTGGAATGGTTTATATGCATCTTCTGGAATGGTGGTAACAAGTCTTGTATGGATTAACCCTGATAAAGCGAATCCAACTTACAACAACTATATCTGTTTGAATTCAGGCTCGTGCAAGAGAAGCGGGGGAAATCAATAAGAGTTTGCTTACTCTTGGTCGTGTTATAACAACTTTGGTTGAACACTCTATTCACATAGCTTAGGTTCAAGTGCAATCATGCCCCGTGCTACTGCTCAACGCCCCGTGAGGTCGTGCTACTGCTCAAGACTAGTTGTTGAGGGATGCCCTCTCTGTTTTTTGTTGCACTATGTTTAACTGTTTAAGTGTTAAGACTGTGCAGACTTGCAGTTGGCCAGTTGCAGTGTTGCATTGTGTTTAAGTGTTAATACTTAAGGCAGGGTTAAGACTGTTTTTGTTGGACTGTTTTTAACTTGTTTAACTGTGTTTAAGTTGTTGGACTGTGTTAAGTGTTTAACTGTGTTTAAGACTTTAAGTTGTTTAATATAGTTGTGTAATCAGTAATGTGCATTGTGCAGTTGGCCAGCTTTTGCCAACTACAGTATACGCCATTAAGTTTGTATGACATTGAGCTTTTGAGCTTTTGCCAACTACAACTTTTGCCATATTCATTGCAAATTTGCAAGGTTGTATGACATACAATATTGACATTGAGTTCAGTATACTGGCGTGCAAGGTTGCCTTTGCAAGTTGCAACTGCAGATGTTATTCTTGTTTCAGGATTTCAGCCATGTGCACTGTTAGCACTTAGCATTGATTGTTAAACCGAAACCGTACCGAAACCGTACCGAACCAAAATAAGAAATACCGAACCGTACCGAAATAGTTTGGTACGGTATTTGGTATACACAATTGATAAACCGAATACCGAAATACCGAACCGAAATCTTAAATACCGAACGCCCACCCCTACTGAAAACCCCACAAGGTTTATGTGTGCCGCACAAAGTCAAGAGAAAATTACTATTCACAAGAAATTATTTTTCTTGTTATTTTACTGTTGAGCTGAGATTTTTGAAAAAAAAATTAGCACAATATTTTAGTTCAATTTGTTCGTTGATTTCATTAATCAAAGAGTTGATAGTAAGGATCGGCCTCGGTGTGGATACACATAGAGTTTTTGCACTGTCGAAAATTTTTTAAAATGTGATTGTCTTCACCAGGTACATCTTAGAACTGATATTTGACATGTAAATACATTCTAAACACGAAAAGATCTGTCTAGAATTTTTATTATCTTCCGGTGTGTTACGAAAATCTATATGCAATCCTACACTTTTTACAAATGATTAGGTTGGTTTAGGGGTGTCAATGGTTCAGTTCGGTTCGGCCGGTTATTTTATAAAATTTGTACCATACCAATTTTTCGGTTATTCTGTTATGTATAACCAAAATTAGACTTCTCGAAATCGTCCCAATCATGTCGGTTTCTCTTCGGTATCGGTACGGTTCGGTAAATTTTCGGTAATTTTTTTTAATGTCATGTAAAAGTTACTAGTAGAAGTAGAATGCAATAACATACGTACTTTTATATGACTTAGCAAAACTCTCTAGATATTTTTACAGTTTAAAAAGTGATGAATTAAGAAAATATGAAAGATTACTAGAGTATAGATCCATCAACTATTCTACATCAACGTAAAAAAACTAAGCAAATACAAAAATAATATAAATCGCATGAGTGGAAAAATATTAACTAAGCTGGGATTCAAGAATAAAGTCTATAGAAGATTAATATTAAAAAATATAAATCAAAATCATACGAAAGGAAACATATTCAATATATTGTAGTTTGCTACTCATAATCGCGATAATACTTTGTGTCTTGCTAGTGAACATGCTGGAAATAATTTAGTTTTAATATAAGTAGCATAATAGGTTTGGGAATTAAGATTTTGAGTTTAATTACTTGTTGGCAACTGTTTCTTAATTCCAAGGCCCAAGAAAAAATTTAATGTTTTATTATTTTTAAACTTAATATATAAATATATTGTTCACATTGTAAATTTATTTGGTACGGTTCGGTATTTTTTCGATTTATTTTCATAAAATAAAAAACTTACCCTAATTATTGATACGGTTGTAGATTTATATAAAAACCTACGGTTTTATTAAAAGAGACCTAAAATTCGATTCGGTACGGTGTAGTTCGGTCGGTTTAGTCGATTTTTAAATATTCATTGACACCCCTAAGTTGGTTATTAACTTATTCTGGGACGTCGCAACTCACATAAAAATAATATTTAAATTCTGGTATAAATTATATTACTCCTTTCCATTCAAAATAATTGATCTTTTAGGCTTTGACATATGTATTAAGAAATTCACATACTCCTAAAAAGTCAATATCACGGTCCCAACTATGCTGCTGCTAAGGTGTTATCCGTGTTGGCTCGATCTTTGAGGGCATTTTAAGATTTTTCGGCCTCACGGTCTTTATTCTTGGAATTTTGTTTAAAAGGGTGCCTCAACAATTTAATCCTAAACTTGCCTTTATATGGTCCTTAACTTTCTCTCCATTCTTGTAACGATCCGACCAGTCGTTTCGAGAGTTGTAGTCTCGTTCCTCTGTTTTCTGCTTCTTTTGTGTTCTATAGGTGTTATATGACTTACCGGGTTGATTGGTTCGGGTTCGGAGAGATTTCAGAGTGAATCGAGACACTTAGTCTCTTAATTGAAAGCTTAAGTTGGAAAAGTTGACAGGATATCGACTTATGTGTAAACAACCTCGGATTTAAATTTTTATAGTTCTGTTAGCTCCGTTATGTGATTTTGGACTTAGGAGCGCTTTCGGAATGTGATTTGGAGGACCATAGTAGAATTAGGTTTGAAAAGGCGAAAGTTGGAATTTTGGAAAGCTTGACCGGTAGTGGACTTTTTGATATCGGGGTCGGATTGGATTTCCGGAAGTTGGAGTAGGTTCGTGGTGTCATTTATGACTTATGTACAAAATTTGAGGTCAATTGGACGTAATTTGATAGGTTTCGGCATTGTTTGTAGAATTTAAAATTTTCATAGTTCATTAGGCTTGAATCCGTGTGTAATTCGTGTTTTTGATGTTGTTTGAGGTGATTTGAGGATTCGACTAAGTTCATATCGTTATTTAGGACTTGTTGGTATGTTTGGTCGAGGTCCTGGAGGCCTCGAGTTGATTTCGGGTGATTAATGGACTTGGTTTTGAGTTGGTGAAATAGCTGAAGTGTTGCTGCTACTGGTGTAATCGCACCTGCGGAGTGGGAACCGCAGGTGCGAGCCCACAAAAGCTGGAAGGTGCTCGCAGAAGCGCGAGAGAGTAGGCTTGGCAGTGGCCGCAGGTGCGAGCCCACAAAAGCTGGAAGGTGCTCGCAGAAGCGCGAGAGAGTAGGCTTGGCAGTGGCCGCAGGTGCGAGCCCGCAAAAGCTGGAAGGTGCCCGCAAAAGCACGAGAGAGGAGGCTTGGCAGTGGCCGCAGGTGCGAGGTCCTTTCCGCACCTGCGAAGCTGCAGAAACAGGCATGTTGCGCAAAAGCGCTTCCGCAGAAGCGGATAAGGGAGCGTATGTACGGTAGCTGGGAACTTAAGTGGTTTCCGCAGATGTGGAGGAATCACCGCAGAAGCGGTTCTGCAGGTGTGCAAATATGGCCGCATTTGCGAAAGGCCTGGGCAGAATATTTAAAAACAAGGGTTCGTGATTTTAGTTTCATTTCAACATTTTGAACTCAGATTTAGGTGATTTTGGAGAGGATTTTCGAGGGGATTATTGAGGTAAGCTTCTTGTACTCGTTTTTTAGCAATAATCTTGTTTCCCCATTATTTTTCCCACCTAGACTGTGTGGTGTTGAGGTAAAATTTGGGAGTTTGAGGCTAGGGATTTGGAGAGTGAATTTTGGAGATTTGAATGACCATTTGGTATCGGATTTAGGTAAATTTGGTATGGTTAGACTCGTGAGTGGATGAGCTTTCGAGCCTTTTGACTTTTATCGGATTTCGAGACGTGGGCTCGGGGGTCGGGTTTGAGTCGATTTCGGATTTTGGCTCTAATTTCATATTATTCTTGTGGAATTGGTTCTTTTAGCCTATATTAATTGTATTGTACTTCTTGTGGCAAGATTCGGGATGTTTGGAGGCCGATTTGAGAGGCAAAGGCATTTTGGAGTAGAGTTTTGCCCGGATTGAGGTAAGTAACACTTTCAAACTTGGTTCTGAGGGTTCGAAACCCCAAATTTTGTGATATGTGATTAGTATTGAGGTGACGCACATGCCAAGTGACGGGCGTGCGGGCGTGCACCGTGAGAAATATGGTCTGGTCGATTCCATGGCATTGTATAGTAGTTCTATCTTGTTGATATTCGTGTTAGCATCATGTGAAAATGTAATTGAACTTTCGATCATGCTAAATATCATGTTTAAACTTTATGTCGGTATTGTTGGAACCCATAGTGGTCGTTTCTTGCTCTCATCTCACTGATTTCGTTGATATTTTGTACTCAGTCATATCTATGCATCTCATATCATATCTCAGTCTCTATTATTTATTGATACATCATATCATTATTTTCGGGGTAGTTTTATGACATTGTGAGCCCGTAAGTGAGATTGGAGAGATTATAGGTAACAGTTATGGGATCGGGTTGCACGCCGCAGCGGTTATACTAATTTATGCTAGCACTTGGGCTGANTTCCTCGATACTGGGTGATTGATGGTCAGTGATATATATATTTCGGGATGGATCTTCCCTGGGCCGTATGGGCCATATACAATACCGGGTGATTGAGCATTTGAGAGTGTGAGCACATGAGGCTGTCAGCACAGTGCATCACATTGTTCAGATTTGATCTATTTTTACTGTTTTTAGCTATCTATTTAATTTGAAAGCATGCCTACGTTTATGCATTGTTACTTCTATTTTGAACTGTGCCGGTTGAGTTCGTCACTACCTTTCAGTCCAAAGGTTGGATTTGTTACTTACTGAGTTGGTTGTATTCATGTACCCTGCGCCTCGTGTGTAGATCTAGGTGCTTCGGGTCACGACGGCTACAGATCGAGGAGTTAGGATTTGGAGACTATCGAGGTAGCTGCATGGCATTCGCAGGCCTTGACTCTCCTTCATTATCTCTATATGTACTTTAGTTTTTATTCCCTAGACATTGTAGTAGGTTATATTCCTGTCACAACCCAAAAATCACAAATCGTGATAGTACCTAGCTCGACCGGCTAGGTAAGCCAACTAGCAAAGCAATACAAGCCAAATGAAATTATAGGAAAATAGTGTAGGATTGTCTGAACTTATACAAATTAACCCAAAAAGTTCTGTTGGGTCGTACGTTTGACCCAACAATCTCTGAGATGGTCGTAATGCACCAAATTCTGGAAATGGTCGAGTTTCAACAATGGGTGCATCTATTTCACATTGATGCACCTAAGGTGCATGAGGAGGAGGTACAAAGTTTCTTCGCTAGTCTCTTTCCAATTGATACTGACCATATCTGTGCTTTGGTCAATGGGGTGGACATCATCTTTGATG